CAAACTGCGTAAGTTCTACAGAAGAAAACTATGGTTAATGCTGGATATTAAAAGCAAAACGGCTCTGCCATGTGATAAATGCTAATAGGCTGGCCAAATATTAAGGCTAAAAGCAACAACTGGACGGACTTTGCACAATGAAAAAAGTTATAAGCTACCAAAATGAGGAAAGAGTTGCCTGGTTAATTGGAAAGTACATTTACAGCAAAATAAGCAAAACGAGCAGTATAAATCGATTATAAAAATAGAGATTTTTTTTTGTAGTAGCGGCACAAACATTGATTTGAACAAGTAAATAAGTTTAAGTCATAAACAAGAAAGCGAAGAGAGAAGAGTAATCGATGAGGGAAATGAGGTACAATGAGGGAAATAAGTGATCATTTTCATCTGATAATCAATAAGAAAAGCTAATAACGAACAGAAAAAAACAAGGAGAAAAAGCCTAACATCTAAAATCACGTCTCAGTCACTTGTGCGGAACTTGCTTACATGAACACAACGCGCAGCAGAGACAGCGTCATCAACAAAAGTATCAATGGAATATTTAGTAATTACACGAGGAAATATGTTAGACACTGCGAAAGACGAGTTATGCAGGGGGAAGAGAATTCACAGATTCCTATGTTTCCAACGGAAATATGGGAAAAAACAAGCGATGAAAGGAGCGCCACGCATCCAGCATTTACGGGGAAAAAACGAAGAAAACACAGGAAGTACGGTCAACAGGGAGCCAGCTGTGGTCAGCAATAGCATTATTAGCAGCCCGTCGAGCGTCAGATGATGCAGTTTTGATCACAGTATCTATCTCGATCCGATGTTATTCACAATCCGATTCATGAATTGTGCAGTTGGCAACTGCACTGACCAGTGCTGCATCACCTGATGGTCAACCCGTTGACCGTACCAAGCCCGATCGTTTCGTTCTCTCAATGAATTATCAACCTAACGGGTTCTCTCGATAGAAGCACTTGGCACGGCTTTAGCTGTTCCGAGATGTCACTGGTGTATGTTGAGGAGCACATTACCTCGCGTTCCGAGCATTATCGTCCGCTCACAGTACCTACGAAGAAGTCCAAACCCGCACTGGCGTTTTCTTATACTTACACCATCCATGACTTGGTCACATTCTGTACAATAATTTGTGGGAGGAAGCTGGGAATGTTTGTGAAGCATAGCGGAAAGACACACACATGGACAGAGAGACACACTCCACATGCAGACCGAGTTTACAGCGTCCAGAGGAGTCAAATTAAAAACATGCCTTCGCAGGGTGTTCGACGAGCTGCTACGCCA